TTTCAGGGAAGGGTTAGGGAGGCGGAAACACTGACTTCAGAAGCATATAGACCCAGGAAGAAGGTACGCCAAGAAAGAATTGCTTCACATTTGGACATTTCGAATAGTGATTGCTGTGTCCAGAGGACAGCCCTGGACAGACGGACTGACCAGTGGCTGCAACGACGGGCTCAAGCACAGGGACAATTGTGAGGAGGGGGCAGGGCGGGGGGTGCTTTGTTCTGTTGGGCAGAGGGTCCCTAGGGTCCAAACGGACTCAACAACAACAACAACAATAACATGACTTTATAACGATACCTTTTGTCTACCCTCCCGTTAGTTGCACGTCAAAGACATTGTGCTCTCTGCTTCAATGCTGTGAGTTTCCTTTTCATTGGCTTTACGAGAACGCCCACAATGCTTCCTAACGGTGGTGAGATGTTGTACCTAGATTTTAATTATGTTTTTTATGCATGAAAATCTTCTCCATGTGAATGGTTACGTGTAAGAGAAATAAACCCACATGGAAAGGAAGCAGACTAAATCCCACGCAGAATGTTGGCTGCCGTAAAGAATGAATTCAATATCACCCTTTGCCACTAACCATTCATCTCTAAGAAGATGGTCTGTAGTTCATGTGGGCCACTTAACCGATATCAAAGATGCGTCTCTTACCTGCCGTTGTCACATTGTGAAATGGTAATGTTAGACATTCTTCCCTCCTGAGCCGGCATCTAATCAGAATTTCTGAATTCATTAAGATGTAGGCTAAACTCACAGTTCCTACAAATGCATGCTACTTTGGTGAACAACTCTACCATACTCAGGATGAATCCTAGGATAATGGGTACCTCTCTTTTCCTTAAATGTGTTTGTGTGTGTGTGTGTACATATATATATATTGATTCTGAACTGGGCTTCCAAAACATACCAGCAAAAGTTAGGGATGTGAAATGCAGTGATTTCAAATCTACTATTTTGCATCTTTCTCATGCCTGTAACAGTGAGCTAGAAGAGCCCACATTATTGGATGGGGGACTTGGAGGCATGGCTGCAGGTTTTGGGGGCGATCACCAGGCCTTTCCCTGGATGTGCATCTAAGCCGACTCAACTCTTCAACCTTTCAGTTAACAGCGGAGCTTATTGACCATTTGCCCCACACAGGGCCGGTACCGTCTCCTAGTCCTGCTTTATCATCGAAGCCTATTTCTAGAAGGAAAAAGCACTCCTATCTCCCGCTTTCTTTAGGATCACCAGTTTTATGAAAGCGTCCCATGTTCCGGGCGCTGTGTAAGTCGCTCAGGCACGCCACTCTTACATAGCTCACCTTGCGTGCGCATGGTTTCTGACGCACTTTGGATCCCCTTGGTCCAGCAGCCACCGCCTTCTCTCCGTTTCTTTCCTCCTGCAGCGCCCTTGGAGAAGGTTGTTCCTGAGGGTCCTGAACAGCAGTTTTGTATTCTCCTTTGCCGACAGCTGCTGGAATGGCCAGCATAAGAAACAGGTCAGCCTAACATAGTCTTTCCTTACACGAACAGAGGGACGCTGGTGGTGTGGTGGCTTACACGTTAGCAGTTGGAAACCACCCACTGTTTCTGGGGAGAGAGATGAGACTCTGCTCTGGTAAAGAGGGAGAGTCTTGGGAACTGCAGGGGCAGTTCTACCCTGTCTGATGTGGTCAGTAGGAGGTAAAACTGACTCGATGGCAGTGAGTTTTTTAAGAGTACAGAAATGGAGAATGGCCTTTGTGACAGTTTTTTTTTGGCTTATTTCTACTCAATTTTATGGCCTTAGTCAAGTCACCTTACGTCCTTAATTACTTCATATTATCTCTACATGAACGTGCACACCGCATCACTCTCCAGATTATGCACCCCAAAATCCTCAACACCACCCCAACCCTTAGAGGAATTCTAAAACTATGAGGGGGTGCATGGAAGAGAGCTAAATTTGTGATTGTTGATATTTGGTGTTGTACAATTTATTGCTAGCTGGAGGAGAACTCATGGGGTTAGGTCCAGAAAATAATACTCCAACATTTGAATCTGTATCCAACTTCAATGGATTCACCCATCACCCCAAATCTATTCATAGATCCCGGGTTAAGAATCTCAGCTAACAGGAAACAGAGCTGCTGAGATGCTTCCATAAGTCTTTCTGCACCTGAGATTTAAAATGTAATAACAAAGTGACCACATGGTGTCACTCTAACATAAAATAACCTGTTGCTGTTAATCATTTTGATTCATAATAATCACAGAGGACAAAGGAGAATTGCCATAACTAACATGTAGGTTTGCAGGATTCCTGATAGATAGCATAGTGGGCTACTCACTGAGCTGTGAACTACAAGATCAGCAGTTCAAATCCATCAGCCACTTCGTGGGCTAAAGATGAGGCTGTCCTATAGGCTCATAAATTATGAGTAGGAATCAGTATGATGGTAGTGCGTTTATAAGTATAGGCTTTCAAAGTTGTAAACTTTTAAGAAGCGGCCTTCCACACCTTTCTCTCTCGGAGCTGGCTGGTGAGCCTGTTAACAACCAACTGCTTAACCAAAGCATGATCAGGTCTTGAACAGAGATAATGCCTATTCCTCCCCAGTCGTTTATAACTGGAAAGATCACAGTAGGTCAGTGGACTGCATGATCTAGGTGAACCCAGCTTTTAAAAGGCAGTGCCCTGCAGAAAGTCTTTGGGAACATCTTGACACTTGGCTTCGGTAGTTCGTGATACAGAGGGAAACAGGATAAGTGGTTCATGGCAAAGGTAAAAGCCTGATGTCTTTACTCTCCGGATAGTTAAGCGTGAGCCCTCCAGCATGGAGAAACAGAGTTATCGCACTTAGTGATGAACAGAGACAGTAAAGTCTAGGAGAAATGAAAATGTTCTTTGCTGGAAAATTACTATCTTGTGTCTCCTTTTTTTCTTAAGAAATAGGGCTGAATTCTCATCTGGGCACTTGTGATTTTCTTAAAAAACACTCAGAGGCAGCTGTGATACTCTCTGAGACAAGACTAAACAGTGTTGCTTCTCTTTTCCTCCCCAAATTAAAAAAAAATACTTGAAATTTAGAGCTCAGGAAAATCCATGTTTAAACAACAACAGCAATAACCAAAATAAACTTGTCAGAATTACATTAGCAGCTAGAGACCTTGTGGCATAGTTTTTACTGAATAAGAGGGATTCTATTTTCCATCTCTTTGCATTTCCACTGCCTCAACCCCCTTTAATTCTTCTATCTCTTATTTTTAGCAGTTTTTATTAACTTCTACAGCATAAAGAAAGCTTAAGTACATACGTTGAAAGGCCTCTAGGAGTGAGCTAACCATTTCTTTGGTCTACAGGTTTCCAAGTACAGTGGGGTGGAATCTGCTTTGGTTGCAGGGGCATGGGTGTGGCTTGCAGGTGCTGTAGCCGAGCTGGATTTAATTCACGGCATGTTACCTGGACGCAGTGCTCAATCACAGGATGAGACTTCTGGTGGGACTTGCTGTGAAGGCCGAATAAGAAACACACCTGGCAGATGTCAAAGTTGAAACACTTCAGGCAGCGATACCTGCCAATTAAAGAACAAGTGCCGTTTCCGTCACTACCTACCAGTAGGGGAGCAAAAACAATCAGGATTCGGTGGGAAAACACACACCAGGACATCCAGGAACCAGTGTCCGAGCTGTTAAGTGAACACACACTTTCTCCCAAACTTCCTAGGGATTTTTAAATGGTTCTGACATACTGATTTTTTAGATAGAAAGAAAATTGAAATGATACTTTAAAAATAATACAGTATTTTTGTAAGGGTATACCCAATAAGCAAGGACATTAATAAATAGTGTTGCACGGAGACAGTGATACCTAATGCTTTTGAGGAGTTACTACATGAGCAGTAGTGTTCAGCAGGAGACAATTCACCCCCATAACACCTCTTAGAGGCCAAGTATTCTTACTATTATTCTAATTTTGCAGATGAGGAGCTGCAAATTGCAGCAGATCACACAACCTTCAATTTTCTGAGAGCCAAAAACACATTAAAGTTCATATTGTGACCATCATTCTTGATGATGCTCACAAACAGAAGAACTAGATGTTTCCCCAGCTCCTACCACTGCTCTGCCAGGGATCACATCAGAAGGTCCTGGAGAGAATGGGAGAGAATGAGGACCAAGACTCAGAATCATACAGAGATGACGTCTATCGATCAGACAGAGACTGCGGGAGTCCCAGATCAAGGCCCTTAGTCATCCTTCAGGTCTGGAAATAAATTCAATTTTCAGTCAAATAGGCAAGTCTACAAGGGGAACAATAGCACAAGAGGAGTACCACACACCTTCAAATGAACCATTTGAAATAAAAATAAAACACGATGTTTATCTCAAAAGATACCATGGGGGGAAAATGTTTATCTCAGTCCCACCAGCAGTCCCCTCCTGTGCTTTAGCACCGTGTCCAGGGGACGTCCAACACTGCCATCCAACAGCATTTGCCCATGGGCACACTCCATAGGGGCCAGGGAAGGAGGAGGCCGGGAAACCAGAAGCCCAGGGAGGAAGTGGAGGAAGTGGTCTTACATTGTGAGGATCGCCACCCCTGAGACGAAGCAAAGCGAGTCTGGGTTGTTGAATGGAAAACGGATCTGGCTCTGTACACCTTCCCCCAATGCACAATAGAAAGTCTAAACAAATGAGGCTCACATTGTAGCACACTCAGGATATATTTATAGACTCCAGAGGTCAGAGGTAAAGACACTTCAATCATTGTTTGGTCCCTCCTTCCTGTTTTACTTACAAGGAAACTCGGGCCCAGAGAAATGAAACAACAGCTTGCCCAAGATC